CGCGGCCGCTGCCACCCGCCCGGCTGCTCCCGCCTCCCTGCGCTGGGGCCACCGCCCCCTCGGCCCGGCCAGGCCCCGCCCCTCCGCGCATTTCGGCGCACGAGAGGTGGGGTTGAGGGCGGGGCCGGCTCGTAATTGGGCGGTGTACTACAAGGCCCCGCCCACCTCCCCGGGAAGGCGGGACGGGGCGTGGCTTCGAGAGCGAGCCTCAGAGCCCAAGGAAAGAGAGGGAGACTGAGGAAGAGACAGGCTGAAATGGGCAAGAGGCTAGAGGCTGAAAAACCCGATAGTGACTCCCAGAAGAAAAGGAAGAGAGGGCAACGAGGAGAACTAGAAAGCGCCGAAGGGGACCGAGAGAGGAGAGGCTTCGAGGTACCCTCACGTGGAAACCCCAGAAGTTAGCAAAGCAGGCGCGAGGGACTACTTCCTGCAGAGGACCGAGATGGGGAAGGGTTGCCCTGGCCTGCATGGGACAAAGAGAGCAATTGAGGGGAGGACAGAGCCGGGAACCAGGACAAGAAAGAGGGTTATTAGAGGGAAGAAGAGAGAAAGGAAAGGGGCCATCTCGCGCACCCTGGCTCTGTAGACCCTACTAATCAGGGAGCCTAGCGGGCCGTCCTCCTAAGCACTGAAAACAGCAGTTCCTTTCTCTTTTCTGTTTCATTGCTGCTCCTGAAATCACCTTCCCCAGGAGGACCAAGATCTTGGTTCCCCTACTCCCAGATGCTCCTACCTCATAGAACTCAAGGCAGGCCAGACTTTTTCTTGGGCCTTTCTCTTCCTCTGACCACTCCTCTTCTCCCTCATTGTTTTTTGGTTTGTTTTTTTTTTTTCCTTCTCCCTCATTGTAGACTAGAGGGTGGAAACGGAGATCCTAAGAAAGTGAGCACTCCCACGTTGCGTCTCCGTCTGAGTATAAGGAGACATCTTTGGATGGTGGTCCCCATTCCCAGACAGTTAGACCCCAGCCCCTCAGCCCTCTTTCTCCTCCTCAGGCAGCTCCTTAACTCTTCTCATCATTAGATTGTATAAGCCTCTTCTTTTTTTTTTTTTAAATTTTGTGTACGTGTACCGTCAAATCAGATCTGACTGGTACAGGAGGATATTGCGCCTCCTTCTCCGGCAGAGCGTCTGGGGGATTCGAACCGTGTTCCTCTGGGATTGCAGTGCAGTTTCTTGCCACTAGGCCACCAGAGCTCCCCTGTATAAGCCTCTTCTCTTCCTCAAATGCAATAAAGTGTTTAGGTTGCATAAACTGAAATGTGTCTACTCCCATCAAAATATTTGTCACATTATTTGAGGCCCAGCTCGTGCTGCTCCACTGCTTCTCTTCCAACCCCTCCCTCCAATCCAGCCCATTAGGGGCGGGTTTGCCATTCAGAGCAGGACTGGCTGCTGCACGGGAACACACACACACACAAACACACACCCGTCTCCTGCCCCAGTCTCCTCACTCTCTAGAGAAGCCCCCTCCTTCCCCTTCTTGATCCATCTTAAAGTCCATAGGATTTCCTGACCTTTTTTGCTCGCTGAGTTACTTAGTCTTCCTGATTGCACCTAACAACAACACAACAATGACTAGGGGGAAGAAGCTGTGCTGCAATTTCAAAGGCACACAGTTTTAAATTCCTCCTGTGTGATTTACTGCCTCTGAAAAACTGCTGGAGGGTCAGCTATGGGCCGGTTCAGACCTGATGGCACACAACAAGGACTAGGGGAGGGAGATCTGGTGACCTAAAACTGAGGAACATAGCTGCAAATCCAGAGGCACATGGTTCAAATCCATCAGCTGCTCCACGGTAAAAAGATGGACACTCTCCTGTGTAATTTACTGCCTCTGAAAACCTGCTGGAAGATCAGTTATGAGTCAGTTCCAAGCACCAAACAAGAAGCACTAGAAGGGTGAGAGAGTAGTATGGAAAGAGGAAAGGGTGTGAAAGGTGGGGGGGGCTGTGCGCCATCAGGGGGTAGGTGTAAAAAGAGGCACCATGTGAGAGAGCTCTCCAAGGGCTGAAGACTGAGCGAAGGTTAGTGTCCCAGCTACATCAAAGGTGGAGCTTAAAATGCAGTAAATGGCGTTTATTCAGGACTTAAGAGTATGCCAGACTCTGTGTTAAATGTTTTAGGTGCAAGATCACCCTTAATGTTCACAACGGTCCACACACTTAAAGGTCCTTCTCATTATTCTCCTTCTAAAGATAGAGAACTTTGGCTCTGGGAAGGAAGTTCAGGGACATGTCCAAAATCATACAACTAAGCAGTGGCGGAGCTGAGATTCAAGCCTGGCTCCAGCCCTTCCTTTTTCAACTCGGTTACCACCGAAAGGAAGGAGGGTGTTGAGTGCAGCAGGTGCGGAACGCAGGACCTCAGACCTCTCCCCAGCTGGGCTCCGGGAAAGGCGTCCTCAGCTCTCGGCTATCAGTCCCTGTCAGTTCGACGACCTATCCTACACCGCGGTCTCCCTAGCTTAAGAGCGACAGGGCTGGTGATCCGAGGCCCACATGCACGATCATTAGCGTGTGGTTTGTACAGACAGACCCCCTCCCCAAGCACGCACGCACACGGCCACTCCTGTGCGGTGAGGCTGGTACTCGGCGGCGCCCCGCAGTCCTCCCAGGACGCGCGGGGAACAGCGCCGAGCGCAGGGGCGCAGGCGAGGCGCGCGCAGCCACCCTCGCGCTCGGCCCGCGTCGGAAGGCGCACGCACGGCGGCCAGCGCCCCGCCCCCGCCCGCCAACCCGCTCCCCGGGCGCGGTGTGGCGTCTCTGTCAGCCCAGCCGGATTCTCCCCGCTTCGCTGGAGTGGAAAATAACGGCTTCAAACTTTGCAAAGAGGAGCTAGTGCCAGCACTTTAATTAACAGCCATCTTGGCCCTCAAGCCTGGGCCACCCGCTCCGCGCCTCCTCTCCACCCCGGGCTCACCAGGCGCCACCCACACCCCCTCGAAAGAGACACCTCTCTCCTCCTTCCAACTGTGGGGGCCTCGGTGCTCTGTGTCCCTTTTGCTGAAGAAATGGAGCTCATGGCTGATTGGAGAACGGTGCTCCCAGTTTAATTCCTTGAAGACCCCCAGATGCCTCTCTTACGACTGAAGAATCTAGAATTAGAGACTTGCATGATAAAACCAGCTGGTGATTTTAGGCAAGTCCCCTGACCTCGCAAGTTCCAATGTCGTCCTCCATTGAAAGGGTTGTGAGGATTAATTGAGATAGGATGTATGTAAAGCAGTAGACTCTGCGTCTGGCACCCAGTAAATGGTGGCTAATACAATAGTTTGCTTCATCCGTGTTAAGAAGACCTGCCCACCATCATCCTGTGGACTGTTAGAGTTGGAATTAGAAAAGCAGACAGTGGTTAAAGAGGGAGCTAGTGAGGGAGGAAGAAACTCTGGAGTCCTAGGTCCCAGGGTAACCTCTGTGGAGGTCAGGGCTGGAGGTATTCAGAACGCAGAAGGAGAGTGTGTGAATGGGTATGGATCACAGTTGAAGCAGCCCCGCGTTTGGTTTGGTTTTCCATCTTACAGGTGGGGCTCCTTCATCTCCTACAGCCCCCATCTTTTCAGGGTGATGTGTGGAGGAAGCAGGAATGTGGGTAAGGCCCTTTATTTATGCATGGCTGACTTTAGGAAACTGAGTGACTGTTCCGTGTTATTTTGGGGTTCTTTGAATGGATGCGAGTGGGTGTGAATGTGTAAGAGACTGTGTTTGTGTTAGCGTGTGTCTGTCTTTGTGAGTGATGAAAGGGGTGCAGGGCCCTGACTCATCATCAGCTAGCAAATCTTCATTCATGAATTCAGTTGTTCATTCAGTAAATATTTACTGAAAGCACCAAGGTGGTTGTGGCTGTATGTCTAAAACTGAGAAAGACCTGTACAGTGGACCTGGGGAAACTCACTGCTTGGTAGCAGGCATGGGCAGACAGAAGGGATAAATGCTGGGATAATTATTACAGGTAATGTTTTCCAAGCACTTGCTTAGTGCAAAGTCCTATTCTAAGCATTTTATATAGAGGTTCTCATTTGGATTTAATAATGGATTAAAAAGTATTATGTCACTTGTATATTATTTTATCAATAACCCCATGATGTGGGTACTATTGTTTCTCCTGTTTTATACCTGAGGAAGTTAAGGCTTGTAAAGACATTGTACTTGTGGTGTTATGAAGACAGGTAAAGAACTCCCCCCCCTGAAGTCCAGGAAGGCTTCCTATAATTCCATATTAATTAGCTCATTTTGTACAGGACACATCACATCTTTTGTTAGCACAGGACACTAATAAGAACTTCTGTGCTCATGGAAATTTAAGAGTACTGAAGGAAGATAGATAATTGAACAAGCAGTTGCTATTCAGCCTGACAAATTACATTGCCTGAAGATTGTATATCATGTTATGGAAACACTCAGCAATGTCACCTACATTCATCTGCAGATAGGAGATCCCCAGAGGCTTCCTGGAGGAGGAGGTAGTTCAATTGTGTCCTGAAGGAAGAACAGGAGTCTGCAGGGTGGAGAGAATGATCACTAGTGTTGGAAGAGGGAGCCAGGGAAGCAAGCTTTATGTGATGTATATGGTAAGACTTAGTCTTACACTGCCTTATGGACTGTGACCAGGAGTTTGTCATTTATCCTAAAGGCAATAGGAAACTACTGAAGGGTTTTAAGTGGGCAATTGTTATAATTAGATTAAAAGAAACACTCTAGCTGTTGTGGGGAGACAGGTTTAGGGTTTAATATAGAGTAAGAGTGATGGTAGATAGGAAGATAACTGAAGTGGTTTCAGTGGTCTGTGTGGCCTGACCTTGGAAGGCAGAAGGCAGATTGGCAGCCTCGATGACAGAGTGTGTGCGGGAGAGGCAGGAGACTTCCAGGCTTCTGAAAGGATCTTGAAATGTTTATTAAATGAATGAAAGATGGATGAATGTTGTTGTCATTACCTAAGTGCCTGATAAATGCTAGGTGCTTTACATCACGCTGATTCATTTAATCCTCAGTAGAAGGCTAAGGAACAAGAATTATCATTTCCATGCAGTGGGTAAAGGTGCTGAGGCTCACAGAGGTTAAGTGACTTACTGGGAGCCAAACATCTGGGAAGAGGGAAAGGCAGAATTAGCAAGGAAAGGCAGGATTAGCACCCAGGTCTGTTTGACCCCAGGTGGGGGCTTTTCATCTTGTACCACTCATCCCAGCAGCTAAATACCTGGCATGGGTGCAGGGAATCAAGGAAAGGTAAAGGTGCTTTAGGGAAAAAGAGTCACTTGGGTCAAGATCTGGGAGTAGAAAGGGGATATATGTTGTTGTTTCTGGTTGAAGTCACTTGTTTTCAGATGCTTTAGGTAGAATAAAGAGCTGGGCATTAGGAAGCAGAGACTGACTCTCAAGACCCAGTCTCAAGGCCCAGTCAGGCTACCCCTTTGCCTTGTGAGTTTGAGGTAGTCTCATCATATCTGGAACATTCTATTTCTTCTTCTAGGTTAGGTGATGGTCCTGGGAAGTTCTAAGAGGTTGTTACTCTCATGTTACGGACAACTCCCTGTTGACATCCATTGAAATATCTTCAGTCTCATCTTGACATTTTAACTTAGATACTTGCAGATCTTGTACATGAGGGAAAAGCTCTCATAATTTTCCATCTTGCTTTGGAATGAAGCAATCTTGTCAGAAAGTATGAAATAGTGAAAGTTGAGTTGTGGTTTGAGGTAGGGACCCAGGACACAGCATAGCAGCCTGAACACTGAACCAATCTGGGTCTCAAAACTCCTTTAAGGAGATTTTCTCCAGGATCCCCCTCTCCCAGCCCCATCTTCTGATAAGCAAGCAGTGGGATGCAGGGGGCAGAGTCTGAACACCTCGATTCATAGACATGCTTCCTCATGCCCCTCTTACTTGGTTTTGTGCCTGGGTCCCCAGGCAGGTCCTTGGACCCCTTATCATTCCCCCTGAGCAGCAACCACCTGCTGTCCACCCCAAATCCCTCCCCAAGGAGACAGCTCCCGCAAAGACTGAGCTGAGGGAGAGGGAGACCTACTCAAAGGGGCAATCTCCCCTCAGCCCAGCTTGTGTCTCCAAGCGGCATGTATAAATAATGAGGCTCTGCAGCCCCAACAGGAACCAATATAATGGCGGGTGCGCAGGGTCAGCTGGAGAGACAGATAGCAAGATGCAGGAGTGACAGGCAGTGCAATTATGCTGAGCCTCCTGCAAAGGCAGCAGAGAGGGGGCCCTGTCTGGCCAGGGAGGTGTACAGGCTGCCATCCCCTCTTATAGTCCCAGCCCCAAGGCAAGCAACTGGGAGGCAGGGAAGCAGGCTGGAAAGGAGCCCTAGTGAGATCAGGGAGGGTGGTGGTGGACAGCGGGAATGGGATAGAGTATAGAAGGAACTGAGGCAAGTGACGGGCAGCTGGTTTCCTGGGTTTTGAGGGTCTGAGGAAGGAGGTAGCAGGGAGATGCCATCTGGTTTTCAGGAGCTGGGGAAGATTTCCTCTCTGGAAGCTCTGTCTCTTCCAGGATAAACCTCCTCTCTAATTCCAACCTCAGGAGACCACTTAGAGTCTGGAAAGACCCCCTTCCTTAGTAAGGTAGGAAAATTGACAAACTGGAACAGAAAATGGCTTGCCCAAGGTCGTAGGGCCAAGCTGAGGATGAGTCCCAGCACTGTTCAGGCCCATGGTGGGAGATAGATTGTGAGGTGAGGATGAGGAGGAGAAATTGATAGCTGCTTATGTACCAGGTTGTCCCCACAGAGCCCCTGAAGTCAGTAGTTGAAGGGACTGCTCAGAGAGGTCAAGCAGCGGGATGGACATTAGAACAATCACTGCAGCAGCTTCGTGGGCAGCGTGCAGGCCCACAGCCCAGGATGGATGTGACTCTGCTCCCTTTCATATTTAGAGAGGGGTCTCGGAGCACTGCCTACTATACACTTGGGGACTGAGTGACTCAGAGAGATCCTCTGAGGTCTCAGAGCTCTACCTGAGCTTGGCCCACCAAGTCAAAAACCCAAACCCTCTGTCATTAAGTGGATTCTAACTCAGAGCAGCTTGGAAGGACAGTGTAGAATAGCTCATAGGATTTCCTAGGCTGTGAATGTTTACAGAAGTAGACTGATTCCTCGTTTTCCTTCCCAGAGGCTGGTGGTTAGGAATGTCAAATGTTTGGTGAGGAGGCAAATCCTTGATCTGCTCTGCTACCAGGTCTCCTTGCTTGGCCCATAGTAGGTACTCAAACTAAAACCCTGAAAAGTACCAGCCTCTTGGTCAGATGACCTGTGCAGTCCCACGGATTCTGTGTTTACAGGGCCCTGCAGGAAGGTTAATGCTCTTTTGTTACCGTCTTTAAATTCTTCCTAATTTAACAAAGGACTCCACATTTATATTTTACATTGGGCCCCACAAATCATCTAGCTAATCTTGGCCTTGAAACAGAGATGTGGTTTGTTCTTGAAGGGGGGGGTCTCTTTGGGCTCCTCCCTGGCCCCCTGCCTTATCCAAGATGCCTCAGGTGGAGGTGGACACAAGGCCACAAGAAGTTGGCATTTGGTGAGCTTCTTACAGGAGATGGGAGTTTCCTCCCTACAGTGTCTAACCATGCACATGGGGGCTGGAGGCCTTCACCTTGTCAACTTCAGTTTCATCCACAAGGCCTGCCCTTTGTCCATCTGTGTGCCTATCCTCGACCCACACCAGGGATGTGTATGGAAGTAGGTGCCTAAGCCACAAAACCTCTGGTCCTAGCTGGAATTCCTTGTCTGTTGGGATACTGGCCCCTCTGTTTACCTAATCCCAACTCTGCTAGGGCAGGAGGTGCTAGTAGGAGTTGGGGATGGGAAGTTTAATTAGCAGCCAGACCAGGCAGCAGGCGGTGGACACAGAGCAGAGCGGCTGACTTTTCCAGCTATAGATCTGCTCTCTGCTAGGGAGAAGCACTAGCTGGCTAGCTTAGGCTCTGGCTCAGCTATTTCAGGAATAGACTTAACCCTTCCTGCACCACTGACATCTTTGGACCTCTCTTTGCCAGCACATGCCAGCTCCAGACTGTTTCCTCCCTGTCCCTCTTTCCCAGTCCCTGCTTGTCCTCTCTGGAAGCTGAGAAGGTCATGGTTTGCAGTGTGGCAGGGTGAGCTGACTTGCTAAGGGAAACTCACATATCTGACCTCTGGGCCTCCTCTTTGTCCTGGCCTAGGATCTTCTTTCTCTCATCACAGCTCTGGACTTGGAGAAATTGACAGACTTTAATTACCCAAGCCCCATCCTCTCATCTTAGGAAGCTGGGGGTCAGTATTTAGCCCCCATGCTGATAAACACAGCTGGCCTGGGAAACATGAAGTGAGATGGGAAACCCTCTCTTGGGGTCCATCTCTGGTGGACAGCTGTTTGATTGTTTGCCAATCAAACTTTTATATGTGCAGGACCTTGTATCCAGCAGAGTGTCCCACGCAACTAACCAGAGCCCTAGAATGTCACGGGATCCCTCTGCTTGGCTTTCTTTCCCATTCTGATTGCTTTCCAGTATCTTTTCTCAGACAAACCGAGGCCGGATATGGGCATTACTTGGGCAAATCCCAAAGGGGGTCATACTAGGGGCTTGGCAGGCCCAGCAGCAGCAAATCTGAATGTTCTAGCAAGTTAGGGGATGAGATCTCAGCTCACTTGATGTCAGGGCTTCGCGTGCCTCTGGTTGCCTGAGCTGGGAGGCCAAGAACACCCAGGACTCCTGGTTCCTTCCTCAGGTGTCTGCCATCTGGGAATAGGAAGAGGAGTTTGCAACCAAGTGCACTTGGGAAAGTGTGACTCAGAGATCTAGGCATAATGGCCAATGACTACATAAATGGTGGTGCTGTATTTGACATAGCCCTGAACACCAGGTGGACCGGATTGATAATCAGCCTCCCTACCTGAGAAGGGCGCTCTCGTGGGCTACTTCTCCAGGATGTCTGACCACAGTAGAGGCACTGGGGCAAGAGTTCTCTTTTTAGGCCCCTTCAAACTTCTTTTCCTCTAAGTTCCCATTCCTAGCCAGTTCTAGGAGTGACACAGCTGGGTGTTGAGGCCCGATGAAACTGCTTACCACCCCTCAGAGACTGCAGAAGGGACTTTCGTGATGGGGCCACCGAGCTACCTGTCCTTCCGTCTCCGATCTAGAAGGATCCGGATGGATTTATCAAGGTATCTTAGAGACAATATTGAATTCAGAGAGCACCCTCCAGGGATTCAGGAAGGAGTCTCTGTGTCTTTAAAATGTTACCCTTAATTGAGAGGTGTGCATAGGAGACAGGCTGTAAAAGGGGAGATCCTCCCACCATCAGGTACACCTGTGCCAGGGGTTTCCTGAGGCAGAGGCTGCAGAGTTCCTGCTGAGGGCACACAGGGGCACACAGGTAACCTCCGGCAAACCTGGGAGCTGAGCCCAGGAGTCTTGGACCCTGCAGCCAGCCAGCCCTCTCTGTGGCCCGTATTCCTCGCCGCCTGCCTGGCGGTTCCCTCCCTGCCGTTTCCAGGCTGGGAGCCCCAGCTGGCAGAGGATGTCTTGCTCCTCAGCAGCTGGGATTTGTAAATATTTATAGGAACATGGAACAGATCAGTGACTGACAGGCCTGGGGGGGAGGCCGGGTAGGGGCCCAGCCCGGAGCTCGGCAACACCACTCCTCTCCCCCCACACCCTGACCTGATTTGAGGGAGCCCAGGCCACCAACCCCCTCACTTAGCAACACAGGCTTCCAGGCTGCCCTTGCCCATGTGCCCCAGGCTCTGCTGCCGCTCTCACCCGACTCCCTGCCACATGTTCACGCATGGTGCCACCCGATCCCCACCACCTCGTGCGTTTTTTTGACACATATGTGTGTGCACTGTCACACTCACACGTGTGCACATGTGCTTTTTAACTGTCAATGAGCACTAATGTTCTCTTTCTCACACACACATGCCAGACCTTTACACACATGCTAGCTCACACTCATTAGCCTAAGAAGGGGCCCCTGCCCCCGTTACTCATCCCTCCCGTTTACCACACGCACATCTCTATCACAGGTCCTGGAAGGGAACTTGCTTGTTTTCTGTCAGAGGTGGTGATTGTGTGTGTGAATATGGGTGTAGACGGAGTGGGAGGAACAGGTCCTGAGGTTTGGGGTGAGGAAGAGGGAGGAGGAGACAGAAGTGTGGACAGAGGGTCATTTTGAGCTGGTATCAGCCTGGAATGGAAGTGAGACAGAGACAAAGACAAACGGGTGAAATGGAGACTGACAAAGGTCAAGGCAGAGGGAGCAGGAGCTGGGATGGAGGACCCCCCCCCCCGAATGAGAAGCTGTCACATTACTGCTCCAGTGGCCTGTGAGACCAGCAGCCCCCCTCTGCTGGAGCCTCTCCCCTCTGGATCTTGTCACTGTGGCTTTGCTCTGCTGCTTGGGCAGCCGGGAGTGGTGACAAGCAGGGAAGACAGTGCCCAGGGCGACTGGCTGTGCCACTCCGGCCTGGCTGCCAACTCACCCATCAGTGCTCATCTCATCACCCACAGGGGCACAGATGAAACCAGCGATCACCCTGGCTGCCCTTGGCTCCCAGGGCCGCAGCGAGGGAGGAAGACAACCACTGAAAGGTGGGCAGTGCTAACCAGCCCTTACCCAGAGCCCTGGGTCCTGAAGGTGGGCCTGGTGAGCAGGGGCCACTGAGATCTCAGGTACCCCCAACAGTGGCAGGAAGTAGGGCATGGGAGAGAGAGGGGGTGAGAGAGAAAGGAGTGAGTAATAAAGTCAGTCAGTAGGAAGAAGCAAGCATGGTTTTGGCGTAAACCATCTCCACCATGTACAAAAACGCCTTTCCCACACACAGTACCCCTGAGTGCTGGGTTAAATAAATGTCCTCCTCGTCTCGGGTCTCTCTCAGGGTATTAGTTCTGGGGCATCAGTCAGTCCATTTGTGCTCTGTGATCTGGGAGTGAATATTCTATAAAATCAGAAAGGCACAAAAATAATAGTCATGAGAAGCAGGGAAAGTTACGTTGCCTGCTGTTTTCCTGGAGCCTGGGTTTTCATCATCAGTGCCACCCCGGCTTTGACGTGCTGATTGATTCATGCTTTCACAGGTTCATTCATGTATTTACTCAGCAACCATTACTCATCCAGGTGCCAGGCCTTGTGCAGGGGCCTGGGACCAGCAAGAAAGCCAGACAAGGTATTTGCCTCCGTGGTGTTTACAGTTGATTGAAGAAGACAAATCAATGCACAATGAAGCTCGGTTTCCTCAGGAGGTCAAGAGCAGTGTCTGAGTGTTCAGCCTGGGACCCAGGCATCCTGAACTGTTGCAGATGGCACAGAATCCCTCTCTTATTCCAGGATCTTCCTCATCTGCCTCTGTCGGTCCATTCTCCTTGATACTCAGACGGTCTAGAATGGTGGAAAGAGCATGGATGTGGGATTGAACCTCAGCTTGGACACTGGTGGCTGGATGAGTGTGAATAAACCATTTAATCTCTCTAAGACAGTTTTCTTCTCTGTTAAATGTAGTAACTAAAGCCCATTACAGGGGTGGAGAGAACCATCAAATGAGATTCAGTATATATAGCACCAAAGATGGTGCCTGGCACACAGTAGGCCCTCACCTAATTCTAGCCCCTTCTCCTGTCCCTTTGCCAGTGATGTAGGCTGCATCTCTTCCTATCAGCAGGCATTTTGGGGGGTTCAAGAGGACCTCATGTTCTGTGTATAGTCATCCCTTGATATCTGAGACTGGATCATTTCCAAGACTCCACAGATACCAAAATCTAGATGCTAAAGTCACTAACATGCAATGCCATAATATTGCTCGCCATCCACTTCCTAAACAGCATGCCTCTGGAAACTCTGTGAACTTTGAGAAACAATAGTTATTGAAAGGCTTCAGGTCTTTTGTTCATAGGGTTGCCATGAGTCGTGCTCGACTAGACAGCAATGAAAAACAACAACCACCACCACCACCCAGATTAGGTTCCTGGCCAAGGCAACTCATGTGCAGTCACCAGCTGTCTGTCAGAAGCAGCTTGAGGGTTAATAAGATGTTGAACAGGCTTCAGTGGAGCATCCACACTAAGATGGACTAGGAGGGAAAAGATCTGGTAATATGAAAATCAGCAGTGGAAACCCTGTGGGTTATAGGGCTGTGGTCCCATTGTCACCAGGAGGGAACAGCCAACTTGAATGCAACTACAAAGAGTATTTTCATGTAATTTGTGCACATTGTCCCTTACCTATGACTCATCACTAGATTACTTCTGATACCTAATGGAATATAAGTGCTATGTAAATAGCACTCTTCACTCCCTCTTAGCTTCTCAGAGATTGCTTAACCACGTAATTCTTCCTACTCAAATATTTTCCATCTGCAGTTGGTTGAACCCAGGGATGCAGAGGGCTAACTATCACGTTCCACTACTTCATGCTATTCGTGCCCAGCACTCTGGTTCTCCACTAAAGGGAACCTCTTATTTGAGGGAGGAGGGTAGAAAGTCCTGGCTTAGCCTCCTAGAGCACTTGAGATTCCAGAAAACAGCCCCTTTCTTCACCTTGTTTCTCCTCTCTAGCTAAGTTTTGGGGGAGGGGGGAATGAAAGCGTGTATGTTATGGTTGTGGAATAGTGGTTGTAATGGTGGTAGTGATGGTGGTAGTAATGACAATGACAGTAATGCTGAAGTTTGATGGTAGCTATGAAAGTGGTGATTATGGTGGAGGTGTGGTGATGATGGTGGTCATGGCATGAATGATGATGGTGAAGGTCGTGGAAGCTGTGATGGTGGTGCTCACAGAGGAGGTGGTTTTGGTGATGGGGGTAATGACACTGAGAGTGATGGTAGCTATGTTGGTGATGAGAGTGAAGGTGGTGGTGATGATGATAGTGACACCAGTAATGATGATGAAGGTGGTAATAGTCATGATGATGAGGTTCAGAAAGGAGGTGATAATGACAGTGGAGATGGTGGGGATGGTGTAATGATGACACGATAGTGATGGTGCAGGTGGTAGTAATGGCGGAGGTGGTGGTAACAGCACAGATGATGATGGAGGTGGTGGTAACAGCACGGATGATGGTGGAGGTGATGGTAACGGCACGGGTGATGGTGGAGGTGGTGGTAACGGCACGGGTGGTGGTGGAGGTGGTGGTAACAGCACGGGTGGTGGTGGAGGTGTTGGCAACGGCACGGGTGGTGGTGGAGGTGGTGATAACGGCACGGGTGGTGGTGATGGTGGAGGTGGTGGTAGCTATGATGATGGTGGTGGTAACGGCACAGATGATAGTGGAGGTGATGGTAGTTATAATGATGGTGGAGGTGGTGGTAACGGCACAGATGATGGTGGAGGTGGCTACATGGATAATAATAAGGACACTGTTGGTGATAGTGTTGACAGTAATAGTGGCGATGGGAATCCCTTTCAGGTTTCTTATTCAGATTTTGAGATCTAGAAGACAGTTCCGTTTTCAGCTAATTAACTGAGGACTCACTGTGTGCCAGGCCCTGCAGTGCTCACTTCATTTTCATAGAGAGCACTGTGATTTTGGTCTCCTTTTGCAGATAAAGATGCTGAAACTAGGAAACCCAAAATATCTGTAAATTTTCATTAAAATTAATAATAATAATTTTTAAAAAGTAAAAGAAAAATATGCTGAAACTAGAGAGAGTAAATGACTGGCTACAGATTTATACTAAGAAGATGTGGAGAGGTATTTAAACTCTGCATCCTCTTACTCATAGCCCCAGGTTCCTGCTCTATACTGTCATGGTGCCAGCCATACTGCACAAAGTTGTTGTTGTTGATTGCTGTTGAGTTGAGCATGACTTTTAGTGACCCCATGAACAAAAGGCTTGAAGCCTTTCTATAACATTTATCAAAGTTCATAGAGTTTCTAGAGGCATGTTGTTTTGGAAGTGGATGCCGCTCCTTCTTCCAGTTTGTATATAATCATTCCTAAACATTATGTTTCATTTATGTTCGTAAAACATTGTGTTTTATGGACTCTTCCATCTCCATTGTGTTTTCTTCAATAGGAGAGGAAAATCCAGAGATGTTAAGTGGTTTGCCCAAGGTCACACAGCATTAGAAACAGAACCTGGCTGTTTCCTTTGCACTTTTAGGTCTCAGCAGTCACCATCACCATGGGCTGGGATCTCACAGAAGACAAGAACATGAATGCATTACCCTTCACAGAGACCCAGGAGCCCAGGCCTCCTCAGGACTCAGGAGCAGGCTTTGTCTCTGTTGTCCTCCCAATCCCATTCACACCATCTGTGCCAGGCAGCCGGGTTCTGGTTTAAGGGGAGCCTCTTATTTAAGAAAGGAGCACAGGGAGACCTGGCTTTGTCTCCCAGACAACATGAACACTCTAGAAAACAGCCCTTTTCTTCGCCCTGTTTCTCCTCTCTGTCAACTCCAATCTCTCCCTCTAGACTCAGAGTGAGAGTGACAGACAACCCAGCTGCTGTCTGACCCATTACTTGACACTCCTCCCCCAGACTGACCATGGGCCTCTCTTGACCTGGCCACCTTGCTGCAGCATTTCAGAGTAGTATGTTGGTGGAGGGGCATGGCTTGACATCACTTCACCTTCATACAGAGCTCTGAGGTGGTGATCTGGGAGACTTAATTGTCTTACTTTCTTCGTTCTTTTCAGGTCTTGGATCTTAGTTTTCTACTTAGGAAAATGGGTAGCTCGACCCTAACCCATCTGGACACTCTGTGTCTGAGCCATAGTGATGATGGTGCTGATCGTATTGGAGGTGGTTATGGCACCAGTAAGTATAGTGACAGTGATAGTGTGGTCTGGGGGGCAGTGAGCATTATGATGGTGGCGTCAATAGTAGCATCATGGTGATTTAGGGTGATGGCAGGAAAGTGGTGGAGATGATTGTGGTAGTAGAGATGATGGTGGTGGTAGCGATGGTGGTGGGGAGTAGAGTTGGTGGTGGGAGTAGAGACGGTGGTGGTAGTAGAGATGGTGGTGATAGTAGAGATGATGGTGGGAGTAGCAATGGTGATGGTAGCAGTGGTGGTGGTGGGAGTAGATAGAGATGGTGGTGGTAATAGCGGTGGTGGTGGTAGAGATGGTGATGGTAGTACTGATGGTGGTGGGAGTAGCGGTGGTGGTGGAAGTAGATAGAGGTGAGGGTGGTAATAGTAGTGGTGGTGGTAGTAGAGATGATGGTGGTAGCTCTTGTATGTTAATAGCAGTGTTGGACTTCCTGGATGGAAGGAGAGAGGGAGGTCAACTGATCACTGCCTTCTTCTACATCTTCCCCTACTCTTTAATAGTGTTGTTGTTGTATACTGTTGAGCCAAAACCCACCCATAGCCAGCCCTCCAGAAGGTTCTCAAAGGCAGTAAATTGCATGGGAGGAAATTGCTCATCTGTCTCCTGTGGAGCAGCTGGTGGATTCAAACCTCATACTTTTGGGCTGGTAGCATACTTCCTTACCACCAGTTGTTATGTATCATCGAGTCACTTGCAACTCATAGAGACCCTGTGTGCAACAGCTCTGAACCCTGCCGGTTCTTTCTTGAGCCAACCTCATTGCTTCTGATGCATCTATTCCCATTACCCCAGACACTGAGTCAATCCATCTCATCCAGGGTCTTCCTCTCTTGCACTGTCCCTTCACCCTCCCAAGCATGATGTTCCTCTCCAAGGACTGATCAACATGTTCAAAGTATGTCAAAAGAAGCTTCAGAGTCCTTGCCTCCAAGGAGCAGCCTGGTTTCACCCTCTTCAGGACAAACCTGTTTTTCTGCTAGCAGTCCATGGTATATGCAATACTCTTCTCCAGCACCACAACTCAAAGGCGTCAACTCTTCTATCATCCCTAGTCATTGCCAGCTATCTGATGCATTGCACATAATTGTGAAGACCATGGCCTGGATCAGAGATCTTTAATAATAGTTACTATGTATTGTCAGTCATGTAACAGCTGAATATCTAGAACAATTCACTTAAACCTCCCAAGAATCCTATGAGGTAGGCACTACTTCCCATTTTAGGGATGAGATAATGGAGGCCCAGAGAGGTTATGTATATTGCCCAGGATCATAGAGCTAAGCAGGTAGCAGGGCTTGGGGTTGGGGCAGCCACAAAGCAGAGGCTGCAGTGCAGAGCAGAGCTGGGGGTGGGGGCGTAGGGTAAATACATGGGGAGAGGTGAGAGGAGCAGGGGGCTCGACTGTCCTGGAGTTTACTGAGCCTAGGCGGTGCCATTCTATCTTGTTTCCACAGGGGCCTGCACTTTCCTCAGGAGCTCAAACAAGGGAGTTAAGGATGGTGGTGTGGGGAGGGATGGGCAGGGGGCTGCAGCTGGGTCTGGCGACTGAGGGAGGGGCTTCGCCAGGCCCCTCTTGGGCAGCTCGACCCAGCAACCGGCTGGCGCTCCCGCCCTCGCCCTCCGGGAGCACCATCCCGGCCTCCCTCCCTCCCAGGATCTCATTATATCCCTAAGAGAAACTGACAGCCTCAATATCTTACTTTGCAAATATAGTTTATTCCTTCAATAAAGCCGCCTGCGCAGGGGAATGTTTAAGCCCCGCTCTCCCCCGAGAGCCTCATTTGAATTTCTAAAGTCTTTAGTCGGTTCCTCCAATGGGGCAGCTGGGTAATGAAAACGCAGCCGCTTAGAGGGGATTCATTTCCTGTCCAAGTCTGCGCCGGTGGAGGCGCTGGAACTGACCTAGGGGAGAAGCGCTGGCCATCTAGATGCTGAGGTGCGGAGGGCAGGGAGGTCTCGGCATGGGCCTGAGCACCCAGGAACTGGTGGGGGCCCTGGCTTCAAGCCCACAAAGGGGTGGGCATGTGCTACCGCCAACCCATCTAGCCCAGGTTCCTACAGGGGGCACCCCTCTTGGGGTTTCCCTTCTTCGGGACCTCTCCAAGAGGAATTCCTGCCCAAGGACCCTTCTAAGGAATCGCCCGATCTAAGGACCCCTCCATGGAGGCTCTGCCCAAGTACCCTATGCGCCTGGGCCCCCAGACCCACCGATCCCAGACTGGATCCCCTCACTCCAGGGCAGCCCCTATCCAGGCCCCCATGGGAGCCTCTAATTAAAGGGCCGGCACGCCCCTCGGGGACTCATTAGGCCCACTGTGCAGAGAACATTTAATCATTGCTCAGAGCATCGATTGGAAAATCAATTTCTTTGTCTCTCCGCACGCGGCGCTGGCGAAGTGGGGGGAGCGCTGACCTCCTTCTGCTGCCATGTAAAGTACTGCACATTTAATCAGGGAACAGAAATCAATTAGCCACTTACGAGGTTGGCTTTAGTTACAGAGTTACAGGGCCCGCGCCACCGCTCAGCCTGACAGGCGAACTGCGACCAACGCCCCGCCCCTGTGGCTGGCCAGCTCGGTCCTACCTGCTCCCCAGGCGCTTCTCATCTGGATGGACTCCCCTGAGATCCTCAAGGACCCCTCTGCCCACTAACCCCAACCCCTCTGCTCAGCTCCGAGAGCCCACCTGAGGGCTCGGCAGAGCCTGACTCAAATCTCAGCTTTGCTTTCCTGATCTTGGGGAGAGTTTTAAACTCTGAACGTTCTCATAAAATGGTGATAGTATCAGTACCTATTTCGCAGAGCTCTGGTGTTTTAGCGGTAAGTTTTACTGTCAACCCAAAGTTTTTTGGTTCGAATCCACCATCTGCTTCAGGGAGAAAGATGTACAGTCTCCTCCCCTGCAAATTCCCACTTCTGAAAAGCAACTGGAAGGTCAGCTATGAGTTAGTTCTACTTAACAACAGTATTTTGCAGGGTGGTTGTCTTGAAAATTCAGTGAAATAATCTTTGTGAAAACCAAACCAGTTGCCACGGAGTCCATTCCAACCCCTGGCAACCTGGCGGGTGCCAGAGTAGCACAGAATTTCCAATTTTTTGGTTAGTAGCTGGCTGAGCAGTTGGCCATT